TACTGTGACTACTTGAATAGTATTTCTTTAGAACTTACTTCTGGTCTGTGGATTTAACTTGATTTTGGCACTCTAAATTAAAGATCTTTCTTCCTGGCTGAAGCTTTGAACAAACATAGAACTGGACAGTTTCCTGCTGTGCCACTAGCAGGTGTGATTTTTTTTTTCCTGATATGTTCTGATTGAGTCTCGCTTTCTCCCTTGACTAGGCCTTCTCTCTATATGAAGATGAAATCAGTGACTCAAAAGCACAGCTGGCTGCAATCACCTTGATAATTGGGACATTTGAGAGGATGAAGTGCTTCAGTGAGGAGAACCACGAGCCTTTGAGGACTCAGTGTGCACTGGCAGCCTCTAAACTCCTGAAGAAGCCAGACCAGTGCCGGGCTGTGAGCACTTGTGCCCATCTGTTTTGGTCTGGCCGAAATACTGACAAGAATGGAGAGGAGGTAAGAACAAAGTGACAGCAGTGTAGCACATCCTACCTCAGTAACAGCTCTGCCTTTCTTTTGAAGACACTTCTAAAGTAGATGTGATGTAGATTTGGTTGGAATACATGCTCATATATGAAGTTTTTAAATCTCAGTGCAGTGTGAACTGTGTAAATACCAAAAGGGAGAAAACTAATTTAAAGGGTGGAAGTACCAGGCAAGCTTTTGAGTGTCTACTAGTTTCAGACAGGCTCTGTTTCACATGTGTGTATTGCAGTAGCTATGTTTGCATGTGAACTACTAAACTTCCAAATTAAAGGTACAAGTTGTTGAAGGTAAAGGTAAGAAAAAAGAAAGTAGTTGTTCTTCAGGGCTTGTCACTTAAGCTGTTGTCATTATAAAGAGCAGTGTTTGCAGCATGTTCCTCAAAGTATGCCTTATGGTACATGTTAGAAAGATGAGTTAATTGATCTCATAATTGAAGGCTTTCAACAACTGTTGATGTTACTGTCTGATTTTAAAAAGAAATTGAGCTTTCGATGACAGCTTGCTCTGCACAGTTTGTGTAGTTCTGTGTTTCTGTGGCAGACCCCCAGGAAATGCCATATGTTGCCAAGGGAGCAAATACTGGAGCTCCCTGAAGTTCTTTTATTTCTTGTAACTCTTGGGTTCTCCCTTCTAGCTTCATGGAGGAAAAAGAGTGATGGAATGCCTAAAGAAGGCTCTGAAGATAGCAAATCAGTGCATGGACCCTTCTCTGCAAGTCCAGCTCTTCATAGAAATTCTGAATAGATATATCTATTTTTATGAAAAGGAAAATGAGGCGGTGAGTGGAAATCTGTTTTCTATTGCATGTTTGTTAAACTGCATTTCTTTAAGCTCTTTATGCTTACACCCCAAATCATGGCTCTTCAGCTTGCCCTGTAATCTCTCACAAGAGGCACAAGTTTTGGTGGTTAGAAAATAGAGTAGTCAATTCTTGATATGCAAGTAAAACTGTGGATTAAACTTCATTCTTCTTGGTCAAATGCCAAACGTGGGGAATTTAGTTATGAACTTAAATATTGTGAGACTTGGATACCTGAAGTGTGTATTTATCAAAACTTGCTGGGACTTAGATAAGGTGCTTAGATGATATTACCATACTTACTGTACAGAAACAATTAAGAGTGCACGGATAGGCCGATTATGTGCGTCATTTGTTGACAGCTTTTTACATTTGCATTGAATCCATTGGAAAGAAATGCTGTGGCAGCAGTTACAAAGCTATCAGGATAATGATTTCAGTTCTTCACATTTGCTTGGATGGGAGAACTTCCACAAAACTGAAATTGGAAGGGTCCTGTGAGGAGCAGGAGAAGGCAGCCCCCAAGAGTGTGTCTGCATACTCTTACCAGTGGTTTGAAGAACTGTTCAATACAAATAGTTCAGGAACAAGTCTCTTAAAACCCCTGTCTGTGCACCTGTACACAGGTGATGTTGATGACTCCTGTTCTGTGTTCTGTAGGTGACAATTCAGGTTTTGAATCAGCTTATACAGAAGATCAGAGAAGATCTCCCAAACCTTGAGTCTACTGAAGAAACAGAACAAATTAACAAACACTTTCACAACACACTGGAGCACTTGCGTCTGAGGAGGGAATCACCAGAATCTGAGGGGCCAATTTATGAAGGTCTTGTTCTTTAGGTAGACACTCACTGTACCTGTTTTCATTTACATACTGTATGTTTTTTTAAGATAGATTCCTAGGTTGTGCCTTTCAGAAATGTCAAGTTAAGTTAACGTTCACGTGTTCAGTCTGGCACTTCAAACACTCGTGTTGAGTACGCTAACAAATTTGAAAGGTTGGACCAGCAACTCCAGGTTTCATCAGTTAGCATGGCTGAAACTTCCCTTGAAATCCATGTGACATGGTAGGGCTCTTTGGTTCTGATTTCTCTTCTGTCTGTTCACTGTTGCTTCTGTAGCACTAGAGCTCTAAACTGGCAGTGACTGTCACCTGAAACTGTGTCTGATCCTTACAGAGCATCAGAGTTTTGGGATTATTGTATGTCAAATTCTGCTTGTGCTTTTCTTTTAATGCAAGTTAAGACTAAGTGTAATATTTTTCCCTAAAACCTAGAATATATTAATGCATGTTTGGAGAGTTTTAAAGTACCATGTTCAAAAACAGAAGTTATATTTTGCATATTAAGGCTCTGTGACATTCAGTGAGGGCCAGTACTGTGCACAGGGCATATTTATCAAGATAATTTTGTTCCAAATAGTATAAAAAAAATAGAGAAATTGCAATCTATATAGATATGTATAACCTTCATTACTGTAAATTTAGGGGAAAATGCATTACACAAGTTTATTCAGTATCATGATTTTGCACCGGTGGAACAATAAAGTTGCTATTAACACCTGTTGTTTCATGTCTCTTCGGAGCCCACTGTTGAACCCAAAGCTAATGTTAAACATTTTGATAAGAGTGAAAGAACTTGTGTTTTGTAGGGACAGAAGAATCAAGGCAAGTTAACCAGGACAAGCTGGGAGGCTGCTGGCACTTCTAATGAGAAGTTTATCGTTCATACCAGTATTGTTCCAAGTGATGCTGTGCTGATGTGTGTTCCTGTTTCAGAGTGCTTCTATGACATACCTTGAGGCATAAAGAATCCTCCTGGATTCTGTGTTAAAGAGATTAGTGGCAATTAAACAGCAGTGCTGTAGGAAACTAAGCATGGAGCAAGTGCCAGTGACAGCTCCTGTGAAACTGGTCTGTCTGTGGGTTAATGCCCATTGCTGTAAGTTTTGATGTGTCTGGTTTACCTTTATTGAACACAGTGTTCTAAATATAACTGAATTGCCTTACTCCTCGAGTGAACACTAAAAACGTGTCCTGGCTTGACAGGATAGTAAATGAGACTTTGGTGTGACTGTTCAGTAATTTAGTGCTACCTGCTTTCTGAAAAAGGCAAGTAAGATCCTAGAAAACAAGAATTGCAGAGTAGACAACAATTAGATAACTGATATACTGATGAATAAGTCTGGCTTGGAGGGTAAGAGGAATGAGGAGATAATCTAAGGGCTTTACTTGCCCAGGGGTACAATTAATGCTGATTCCAAGATCCTAACGTTGCTCTGTATCTGTTGATGCTGTTCCTCTGAAGAGAACTGTTAAGCTATTTTGTTTCAGCACATCCATAGCAGACACGATGATCATGTTCATGTAGATCCATTCATAGCATAGGGATATGCCATCCTAGTTTATAGTACTCGCTAACCATGTTTGTTTAATCTTCAGTGTCAACCCTTGTAAATAGGAATTGTCTTTGCAACAAGTTTTGTAGTATCAAATGCAGTTACCCAGATGTTGTAGACAGGTGCTTTTTCCCCATCTCCCACTTGTTAGAACTACAAAGTCATGACTCTTCCACAGCTCTTAATTACCTTTATTGAACTTTTGCAAAGTAAATAATTTCAAAATACTGCCTGTAAACTTTAAGATCAATTGTACCAACATGCATTTTGCCTGTGGCAGTGGACAACTACAGCTGTTCAATAGCTCTCACTTGTCAGCAAAGGAAAGCATCTGTCAGGTTATGGAGTGAGTGCCAGTGATGGTGGTACAAACTTGTATCACTAGTGATGTTCAAATTGACACCTTTTATGGGACAAATCCAGTCAGAGCTCAGGAATCAGCTGTGTGAGCTTCTCCTGGGGCACAGGTACAATGGCAGAAACAACACGTCATGTTTGGGTTTGGTTTTCACACTTATGGTCAGTAGCAAGGCTGTAAATCTTAACAGACTTTGAGCCATGCCATTCATGATGCATGACCTGGGAAAGGCTCAACACCTCAAGTAATACCTTTTTGACCGCTGATGACTTGGTGGATGGATGGATCAGGGTAGGGGAAAACAAGGGGTCAGATAGGGGAGAACAAGGCTTTTTTTCTTTCAGGGCTAATTAAATTTAGTAAAAGTCCAGTTGGAAATGTTTTTAAAAAATTAGTCCAAGGGCAGTTTACCTAAAGCTCTGTCTATAGCAAGATCTGTCGTAGATATCACAGACTACTTAGGCTTACTCTGTCCTTACAGCAAAACATAGAGTAATGCCCCTCAGTCCTGTATGGAGAAGGGTTTTGACTTGAGTAGATTCCTGCACTTAACAACTCAGACCCTTGTTGTCTTAGAGTGGTTTTAGGTTAAGATATAACAGATCCCAGATTGATACTTCATCAACTTCCTTATCAACAATATTTACAGTTATTAAAAGTGACTCTAATTATTGGCCATGAATGTTGTAGTCTGTTTTCTGCACTTGAATGCTAGTGCACCATGACCAGAAAATAGACTGTGGGGGTCATTTCCCAGGGAGCTTTGGGAAATGACTTTTCATTCCTGTGATATCTGCAGCTACATTGATGACTGTATTTCTGTATATTCATAAATATCTACACTTGCACATACTTACCAGTGTTCCATAAAATACACAGTGCACTTCATATTTGCAGGTATTGCAATACTTGCTTTTTGGTGCTCCCACCAAAAGCCAGTTGGACCAATTGTGAGCCTTCATACTTTTCACATAAAAATATGAGGGTGAATTTTGGCCTTTCCTGGACACAGGAGTTTTATAAAGGCTTTCCTAAAGCTCATGTGACACAGTGGGTATAGGACAGGGTTAATGGCTGAATTCACCCACAGGAGCCAGAACGAGGCCTCATAGAGGGAATAGTGCACACAGTGCCCGTGGCAGGCTGCTCTGATGATCATCAGGAGTGTGTACGGAGCCCAGCACAACCCAAACACACAGACAATGATTGCCAGAGACTTTGCTACTCTTTTGTCCCGGGAAAGTCTGAATCTGTTTGCCACGGTGTTGGCAAAGTCCACTTTGAGGGTGTTGCAGCTGCTTTCTGTCGCCTTGTAGAAACCATTCCCAAGAGGCTTCATCTTCACATCCACCTGCAGGGGTGGAAGGTCAGGACTGACTTTTGGATTTAATGAGCGACTGCCACGCTCAGCTGAGGCTTGAAGCCTTGAAGTCTTTCTTGGGTGAAAAAGGCTGCTTGCTGCCTTCCTGTGTTTGTCTCTGTTAGCTGGCTTCACAAAAAATATAGTGTGTTCCTTTTTTTCCCCCTGGAAGCTCATTTTGCAGTCCTCTTGACCAGGTGAGAGGGTTTCATTTCTGAGGGATGTGCGTTTCCTGATGTTGAGGTAAATACTTAAGTTAAAGTACGTAACCGTGACAAAAGGTGTAAAGAATTCAAAGGTAGAGGCAATCATCAGGAAATACCAGTTGTAGAAAAATTCTGCGTGACACTCCCCTTCAGGGAGGATGCTCTTTTGGGCAATGTGCTCCCAGCTGAGAATGGCTGGACCATAGAGGAGAAAAGCAGCAATCCATACAGTCATCATCTTCAGTACTGCATTTCTGGTCATCCCTTTCTGAGCCCTGTAACTGACCTGGGAGAGAAAAGTGAAGTCACAAACATCACAGGTGTGTCAAACAGGTACGTGGCTGCCTTGGAATGTGGCCCTCTCTGTCACTTGGGAGGGTTGATGACAGACTGGTTTTGGAAGGAGCGTTATACCAAGCTTTCCAATACCCCAGAAAAGCTATTTCTAAAATACCTATTCCAAGAAACATTATCAAGGTGACTGGATAAGTTCTGAGAATGTCCATCAGATCTTAAAAGCTAGAAAACCAAATCTGTTTCACAGCAAATAACCAGTGCTATTCCTAGAGTTGGGTGTCACCAGTTGCTTCACATTCAGTTACATCAGTTGTGATACCTGTTTACAGAATGGTTAAAAACATACCCCTCAAAAATCCACTTATTTTGAACTTTTAAGTAACTTAATTAGAAATACGTAAAAGGACTTGAATTCACGGAACACTTGTGCAAGTTCTTTCTGCTTTGTAGAGAAAGGTTTTTTTCTTAATGTGGAAATCATACGCAAAAAAAATCATGTATAACATCTTTTTCCTGGTTTGTATACTTAATTTCATTCTTTCATTAAGTACTTGCAGAGTTCCTTTCTGCAATTAAGAGGTATAAATGGAGCGCTGAGGTCCACAAAGTGCTTTACAGGAAGAGTAAATTCTTTTAGAAATTGGAGAAGCTAAGGTGCAAAAATAGTAAGTATGTCAGTAATCCATATCAGCAATAGAATTCATCAAAATCTTTAGATCATCTGCTTCTCAGTATTCTCATTCCCTGGTGTACTGGACAAATATAGTAACTTGGAATTCAATCTTCACATCTCCGCAGTGTGACTGCACATTGTTTGGAATATGAAGTCCTCAAGCTTGAATTGTACAGGATTTATAGTTCCTGCCCCAATCTGTGGATTGTCATCTCCACAGCTAGTGCTGTTCTGGTAGAAGAGCCACACATCTGAGGAATCCTGAGTTTGTCTGCATTGGGTCTGACTTTCCAATCCTTGACAAACCTACCAATGACTTCAGGGACAGTCTTGTAGGAGTTTGCATTTGTATTGAGAGGGAGAATAATTTGGAACTTCAGATGTTCATATGTTCTTACCCTGCCCTAATCCAACAGGCATTTTCCATACTCTTGCTTGGGGAGAGATTTTGATATGAGGGGTTAATTTGAGGACTTTAAAATGGATTATTTTTTTCGTTTATTATGACCAGTTTCCCTTTCTGTTTCTGCAACCATCTAGTTTATATATTTATACTATGTGCATAGTCATGAGAAATAGATTGGTTAATGAAAGAAAAAATTATGGCTAATTCAGAACCTAGAAAATAAAGGAATTCTGAGTGTTGACTGTTTGAGAATTAATCTGTTCACTTCTTCATCATCAAAAAGAAGTTGGTAAAACACCAAGGTGCATATAAAGTGTTGAATTGATGCTGCAGCCTCTCTTTTTACTGTTTGTGATTTAGAATGAGCAAGCGGAAGCAAAATGAACATTTTAAGGAAGTGGGTGGAACAGGGTGAAGCGTAACTGAGAAGTGTGTGTGGAAGTGTGAAACCTATTAGCAGGTAAAATGTGTTATTTTGGCACCATCCAGGATACTTTGAGGCAGTATTGTCTAGGTGAAAATGAAGCTGGCTTTTGATTTTGCAAAGTCTAGTCTTCCTTTTTTTTTTTTTTTTTTTTTTTTTTTTTTTTTTTTTTTTTTTTTTTTTTTTTTTTTTTTTTGTGCTAGCTGACTTGCTGCAGGCACACCTCGAGCTGCATCTGTGGCTGGTACATGGAAATAGCATTTGCATCCTTAACATTGATTTATATTCTGCCACTTCTGAACCCCACCTAGCTGTCCACATCTGTTCCCCCCAGTACAGTTTGATACCCACTGCAAGGAGCTCTCTCTGCCTTGTGCTGCAGCTGGGCTGGCTTGGGCTGTCCGTGGGCAACAGGTGCATTGCCATTTTCTGAGAGAGCCGGACTAGTTCAACTCAGTAATACTTTTTAAGCTGATCCAAGGTGCAGCTGGGGTGAAAGTAAGTACAGCTTGTTCCCTCTGCACACACAGCCTGTTTCTAAAGTAGAGCCTCTCTTCCACTGTGAAAGTGAGAGGAAGAGGTATTTTTGCTCCCCGAACTATTTCCAGGACCGACGGGAACTGCCTGCTGCAGTTTGAGAGAGGTTCGGGGGGTTGAGAGCCAGGCGCCCCAAGCAAAACCTGCCCCCCGCTCCGCAGCCCTTGCCCGGCCCTTACCGCTCTGGTGACACAGATGAACCTGTCGAAGCTGATCAGGACGATGTTGAAGACGGAGGCGGTGCACACCAGGTAGTCCACCACCAGCCACAGCTTGCACAAGCCCCGTCCGAGCCTCCACTCGCCCGTCAGCACGTAGGGGATGTAGAGGGGGATGCAGAAGCCGCCTGCGGACAGAGCAGGGCGGTGACACGGGCGGACCCGCACCCCCGCCCCGCGGCGCCCCGGCACTCACCCACCAGCAGGTCGGCCACGGCCAGGTTGAGGAAGAAGAAGTTTCCGTGCGTGCGGAGGCTCCGGTCCACCACGAAGGCCAGGATGACCAGGGCATTGCCCAGCACCGTGGCCAGCACCAGCAGCCCCATGAGCGCGGCCAGCAGCGCGGCCGTGCCCGGGGGGAAGGGCCCGCCCGCCTCGCAGGCGCTGCCGGACAGGTTGAGCCACGGCCCGTCCTGGCCCATGGTGCCCGCGGGGACCCCGCGGCGCTGCCGGTCCGGTCTGGCTGTGCCGGCACCGCCACAGCCCCGCCACAGCCCCGCCGGGCGGAGCGAGGGGCTGGGAGGGCGGTGGGAGGGCGGTGCAGCCCTGCCGGGCACTGCCCAGCCCTGTTCTGCTCTGCTCTGTTCTGCTCTGCTCTGCCCTATTCTGCTCTGCCCTATTCTGCTCTGCCCTACTCTGCTCTGCCCAGCCCAGCCCAGCCCAGCCCAGCCGTGCCCGGTGCTGGGACGGCGCCGGTGCTGCCGAACTTCCCGGATGGCGGCCGCGGCGCTGGGAGCGGGGGATGCACCACCAGGATCCAGCCCACGACTCAAACTTCTCTGGGATTCTACGCGGGGCCGGTCCCTCCCCAGCCCCTGCAGTGACGCTCCCGGTGCCCGCCCGCTCTCCCAGCGCCTCTCCCAGTCTCCTCCTCCTCGTTCGCAGCCGCTGGCGGGGCACTCTCGGTTGCCTTCCCTGTTCCTATGGTTCGTGCCCTACACCCTATCTGCAGCTCTTTCCCGTGGCCCTGAGACCTGTCAGATGATCTCTGCTCTCTCCATGTCAGGGGTCTCTCCTCCTCCTCGCCCTTGTGTTTGTCCCTCCTTTGACGATCCATCTCCGCTGCGCTCCGCCTGCGGCCACCTCAGCCTTTCACTCTGCAGGAGAACGAACTCACTGCTCATTGCTGTGCCGGGCTACTCGGTTTCATAAAATTTGCAGGAACAGTATTTCTGATATCTCTCTTTTCAAAACTGGCAGTGGACTTGGGCAGTGTTTTAAAGTGCATTGTAACAGTGATGTCAGAGAGCCAATTCTATCTCAGATCTGTTCCAGAAACCAAATACAGGAGCAGCCAGGAAAGGGCAAGACTTCCTTCAGCCTCTGACAAAAAGGCTGAGGCAGCCTGGGGAGGAGGAGGAGGAGGACACAGTGACCCCTGAATGAGCTGCACAGGCTCAAGTCTGTCGAATCTGAAGGGTAAACTCAGAAGAGGAAAACCTCTACTCTCCTGGTTTGGCCCACTGGATCTTCATCTGCTTAAAATATGAGGCCATTGATGGATGGACTTTGCCTCCCCTTCCAAGAGAGTTCTATAGAGACTGTAAGCCTCTGGGACTTGCTGCCTTCGGTATGGCCCCTTTATCATTAAAAGACAACAGAACTTGCTCAAAACCAATGCATAATCTTCCCTTAATTCAGCCAATGTTTCACA